GTGTAGGTAAGGACATAAGAGTGTAAATAAATAACGCACCAATTGTGACACATTCGTTTGAAGACGTGGTTCTGCAGGTTTGTCATTCTGAGTCTTGCACTGGGTCAGACTCTGGCTCATACATGTAAGGCTGGATTGACAAGTCTACTGTTGACATCTTTATACTTTCTTGCTATCTGCCATCACTAGTATGTACCTTTTTATACATTCATTTTTGTACTGTACTTTACGGTGTATATATGTATATAAATAAGCATATGTGTTTATGTATATGTGTATATGTGCATTGGTACATTACTATATATCACGTGTATGTTGTGAGGTTTTGTTTGTTATCTTTTATTAATCTTTCATTATTCTTCTCAGCCTCTCTTGTATTAAGCTGCAGTAATGTGCAAATTTCCAGACTGTGGGATCAATAAAGTTTTATCTTATCTTATTTTATCTTAAAAACAGTTTTTAGTCGGTAGATAACTGTGTTTTTGCTATGAAACTACAAACATGGCCGAACGGGGTGGAGTCGAATGCTCAGCGACCTGGAGGGGGCAGGGTGTGAAATATCTCACTTGTATTTAAAGAGACCGCACCAAAACAGCTTGATCTGAGACGCAGCTCAGAACAGGGGTAAAACAAGGAAAGCAAGGAGTCTGTGGAACAACAAAAACAAGGAATTAAGACCAAAGCATTGCAGTTTTATTTTAAATAGACCATAAGTGAATGATTTAGACGTGAAAAAGAAGGATTTAAAAGCATGATATGAGACCTTTAATGTTCTTTTGTTTATTTCCAAATGCCTTCATGGTCTAGGCCCGTACGACTTGCTCCAGTTCTACATTTTCTCAGGTCAGCAGATCAGTTCCTGTTTTGTCTCACAGTGAAAGAAAAGGCTGAGAGGTGACCGTGTGTTTTCAGTCACTGCTCCTGAACTGTGGAATGAACTGAATGTACACATCAAACAGACCGACTCACTTCCTGTTTTTAAATCTTCTCTTAAAACACTTTGTTTTTTCTCTTTGGCTTGTAGCTCAGCTTTGGATGTTGGTTTTCATTGTGTTGTTTGTTGTTTTCATTATTGTAACTGTTATTTGTAAAATTTTAAATAGTTTTTATTATTGTTTTTATAAGAATTTTATTCTTATGCTTCATTTTGTATTTGTGACCCATCACATCGAAATGAGGATTAAGTCTAAAAGTTGTATTTGGAGAAATAGGCAAATATACTATAGTGTTTTGATGAAAACGCTTGCATAACTTCATTTTGTCAAAATATAACTAATAAATGTGTTATCAACATATCATTTCAATGAACTGTCTGAAATATCATCCTAAAAATTTTTGAAGCACTTTTTAGAGCAATAGCACAAAAACAACAACAAAAAAAACTGATTTTGAGGAAAAACACCTTAAAATTTTGAGATTTTCACTGGAAGCTATCAAAGCTTTTCTTTCTTTCCAGCTGGGAAATCTCAATATTCAAAAACTATTTGTGGTTTCTTTTTTAAAATGACATTAAAAATCCTCATTAAAATTATATAGAATTAGGATTTAGACCAAATATTTATGCATTATTGTAACCAACAAGACAAATTAAACATCTCTGGATCTACTAATGATATCAGGATGATCTAATTATCAAAATGTAGCTTTTAAAGCCAAGAATCTGAAATATGATTAGGTCATTTTGACCAAATTTGACTTAATCCTTATTTCGATGTGATGGGTAACATTTAATCAATGTACAGCACTTTGGACAGCAGTGTTGTTTTTTAAAGTATTTTATAAAGCTGTTGTTGCTGCACATGTATCTTTTGTATCAATCACAGACCAGAGTAGTGATGGGATGAATGGCTCTTTGAAGGGATCCAGATCACATAGAGCCGTTTGCTTCTTAGAGCCGTTTGATTTTGAACAAGTTACGTCTTCACATAAGAAAATACGTCATCGTGTCTAGTGAATGTGATGATGTCATCACGTTACGTGGGTAGGAACATGTTTTGTCAAGCAGACCCACCCCCCCACCACCACCATCACCCCCGAGCTGCTGTACTCCACCATTCTGCTGGTTTTCCATGAGAAAGCAAAGCAGGTGTTTTCAGGATGAAAAAATAAAGTTAATACAAGGAATTAAAAAATAAAACTACAAACAGCTCTTTACTGCCTGTGACTCAATTCAAAAGATTTGGATCGTTGATGAACATCACATCTCTACATAGAGGGTTTTTTTTCCTTTCTGCTCTCGGAGGAGTAAGACGCTTTTTTCCTTCTCTCCTGCCCTTCCTTATCTTCCCTGCTTTGCTGCTGGGGCCTTCTCTACATTTTTCATCTGAAACATGGAATTATGGATATTTTTATTTTTATGGATTTGGTTAGCTGGTCTCTCAATAAAATTTTTGGAACAAAATTTATTTTTCTTCCTCCATGGGAGGACATGTCGAAGGTGAGACCTCTGTTCCTCTGTTCTGGATATACCCCGATCACTGGATTCTACAGATTGGCTTGGTGGTCTCCTGGTGTTCTACAAAACATTGTCAGTGGCTTTTCATCTCCTGGCTGACTGACCAACTGGATGGACGGCCGTATTCTATCAGAACTCGGACATTTTGCCTTGAGTGAGCTGGACTCGGTCTGCAAGTGGTTCTATTTAGGGTCGCGGGCCAGCTGTGGTCCCCGGACTTTTCTGGCCAGATGGAATTCATCTTGGAGAAAGCTGATGGATCGGCTCGGCGGTATGTGTCCACACCATTTTGTCTGATTGGATTTGTCACCTTGAGATGCACCAGCAGACATTAAAGGCAGATGGAAAATTGTTATTGTCTGCCTGTCCCTTTTGTTCCCAAAACAACTGATTACAGAATCTGGATCTCCCCGACAATGGCCTTGATCTGTTGACTAAATTCATCCTGGCTGGATCCTGTCAACAAGGCTCTGCCCCCTCCCTCCCCCCCTCCTCCCTCACCCGTATGATCTGATTCCTGAGAAAGCTGAGGGTCCACAGAATGAACAGTTTACCGTCAATATTCTGAACTTTGGCTGCGTCGGCTTTGGGGACTGGATTCTTCGGGCCCCCTAATCTCAATTACTCCTCTGGCTAATAAATCTGCCCTATGCAGAGGTTTTTTTCTTTTTCATAAACACCATAGTGTGTCACAATGTTGATATAATATGATGATTTTGTTTTTTTTTTTTCCTCATCTTCCTTTCCCTTGTGTGGTTTTCGGTTTCCAAGAATGGTGCCATGGTAGGCAGCCTGTTACTGCATCTCCACTGTTTTGAGCCACTGTAATGTTCAAATTTCCCCACTGTGGGATCAATAAAGCTTTATTTTATCTTATCGCATCTTATCTTACAACTCTGGTTCACGTTGCCACTGAAAGTATTGTTGAAGAGTCGATATACCATACCATACCATACCATACCATACCATACCATACCATACCATACCATACCACTTTTATATATAAAGCACTTTAAAAAGCACAAGGCCAACCAAAGCGCTGTGCAGTAGACAGACACACCAGGACATAGTTAAAATTACAGTCAAAATACAAATAAAAATATGGAGCATTTATATTTACAGTACACATAGAACAGAGTTATGATACACGGTGAGGTTTTACACCATCTCAGTCAGACTTAAAGGCAAGCGAGTAGTAGTGTGTTTTTAAACGAGACTTGAAGACAGTGAGGGAAGGAGACTGGCCTGTAGTGGTAGATCAGTCCACATTTTTTGGACCTGCTGCACAAAAGGATCTGCCACCTCTCAGTTTGAGATGAGAGTTAGGAACGTTCAGAAGCAGATGACCAGATGATCTAAGAGAGTGCTGTGGGACATGTGGATGCACTGGACCTGAGAGGTAAGAGGGGACGGAGCTGTTTAGGCATTTAAAGACATACAGGAGGATCTTAAAGTGAATTCTGAAATGAACCAGAAGCCAGTGAGGAGATGCTAGAACAGGAGTAATATTTTCTCTTTTACTTGTGCCAGTTAGAAATCGGGCTGCTGCATTTGTAAACGACCAATGGGAGACTGGCTGATTCCATATAGCAGAGCATTACAGTTATCCAGCCTGGATGTAATGAACACATGAATTACTGTCTCCAGATTTCTTTTAGACAGGATGGGCTTTAACTTGGATAGTCTCCTCAGCTGAAAAAAAAACAGGATTTAACAATGGAGTTTACATGACTGTTTAATTTCAAGTACGGATCCATTTTTTACACCTAGGTTGTGTTATGTTTCGTCTGGGTTCATGTTTTTATTTTGACTTTATTCTGATTTTTGTCATGTTCCTCTGTTTTCTTCCTCCTGTTTGCCTTTGCTCCAGCCCCGCCCACTCACACCTGATACTCATGCTTCTCCCCCAGGTGTTCCCTGTTTGTGCTTATTAGTCTCACCTTTATATTCTGGGTCTTGTCTTCACTTCCCTGTCGGGTCATTGTTTGGTTATGTTCGGTATTGTGCCTTGTCCTGTCTTGCCACGCCACTCAGAGTTTTTTGAGCTGCCCAGTCAGCACCTTTTTGTTCAAATAAATACTTTGTTTTTTGGAGACTTGCAACTGCCTGAATCATGGGTTCATTCCTGCCTGAGATTCATAACAGGTTGGTGACAAGTTGTTTTTCAAACAGGGCCAGAGTGAAAAGGTCAATTCAAGTGTTACTGTTTGTGACTTCTGTTTTCTTCTCATTAAAGTTTAGGAAGTTTAAAGCCATCCAATCCCTGATGTCAGCCAGGCAGTCAAGAAGAGGTTAGATGCAGTGTGGGCCAGCCTGTTTCAGAGGAAAGTAAATTTGACAGTCGTCCGCATAAAGATGAATTAGTATGCCATGTTTATGAAAGATTGCACCTAGTGGCAGTAGGTATAAGGAAAAAAGAAGGGGTCCCAGGATTGAGCCCTGTGGTACTCCCCATTGAAATGGTGCTGATGAAGACATGAAGTCCTTGATGTTAACACAGAAGTGTCTATCTGTCAGGTAGGACGAACCAACTGAGGGCTGAACCTGTGATACCCACCTCCTTCTCCAGCCTGGAAATGAGGATGTTATGATCAATAGTGTCGAAGGCTGATGTGAGGTCTAATAGCACAAACAGGACAGATTCATCAGAGTCTAGGGCTAAAAGGATGTCATTAAACACCTTCAACAGAGCATGTAATGATATGTAAACTACAAGCTGAGTCTGAGAACAGTCCTTGAGACCCCTGAGATCTCAGTCAACAATTTTAGAAGAGGAGAGCATAAAATGGCCTGTGGATTAAAAACGGTAGCATGATGTCTCAGTGGTTAGCACTGTGGCTTCACAGTAAAAAAGGTCCTGGGTTCTCTCCTTGATTTGGACTTGAGGTCTCATTGTGTGGAATTTGCTTGCCAGGCCTTCCCTGTAAAACAGATCTGTGGTCTCAATGGGCTTTGCCTGGACAAATAAAGGTTAATTACACAGATGAAGAAATAAATCTACTGATGCTTTTAATAATAACCTTTACCATGTAAGTCAATTGAGAAGCAGTTAAAATGAACAAAACAAACATAAAACAACAAAGATGAACAAAAACACAAAACAGCAGAAACATAAAACCATTAAACATCAGTTTTTGTTCCTCCTAACAAATGAATGAAAATATATTGAAGTTATTTTCAACAAGAGTAACTAATATTATTTTTAAATGTAATTCTATAGAAATACAGTGGACATCATGGCTAAATGAGCAACAGATAAGATCATTCAAATCATTTGTAAAATTGAGCAGTAAAAATGATGTGAAAAAGCTGCATTTTGCATGTTTGCACAGTATTAACCTTGTATTGTCCTGTAAAATTATAACCTTTCAAATTGACCATGTAGCTGCTTGAAAATACATCTTTATTTATTAATTTTTTACATTTTTTCTACAATAAATAAGACGGTCTTTTCGAGCTTTGTAAGCTTGATAAAAATATCAGAATGAAAAGCTGAATGTGAACCATCAGACACCTCGATTTAACCAGGGTTTCTTTCTCCCATATTGTCTCCAGGTTACCATGCTGTTTAAACCACAATTCAACATGAGGTCAGGGTCTGCAGTGAACATCCCACCACTACAGCTACACTGTGTCCATGTGTGGTAGGGGTGTGTTGTGATGAGACAGACGGTATGAGGAGAACATGACAGATGCTGTCCCCCCCACCCAACTGCAGGCTGGCTGCCACAGGTTAAAGGTCTGTCTGCTGTATGCATGGGCACCCAAGAGATGAAGAGGACTCCATGGTCCAGTCAAGATGGTCAAAAGAGAAGCAAATCTTCAAATGTGTAACTGTCATGTTAATTTGTGTATAACAATACTGTATTCAACGAGTTCTTCTTGTTCAGAACATTTAGTAAAGTGTTGATGTTGTAACTTAGCAGAGCAGGATCCTACAGTTGGTGTCTCTGCATTCAGGGTCACATATGTACAGTGAATGCATACATGTATAAATATACACATGGTAACTAAGTTGGTGAAAGAAGTCTGAGCTTCTTTGAGAGGTTTAAAGGTACCGACTGAATTCTTGGACTCATCTCAATGCAGAGCTTGGAGCTTGGAACTAATCTTCTGGAGAGGGTCTGGACTTTATTCCAGGCAGGAGTTGCCCAGGATATAAGAAATGGTAGGGGAGGGCTTACCCCAGTAAATGAGGATGTGGTTTCTCTTATCCTTCAAGAGAAAGAAATGGTTCTGACTGTTCTTTGAGCATCCAGCCCTTTGAAGGGCTCAGGTCAGACTCTGGAAGATGCTCTATTTGGAGCCCGTACAATCAGCTTTGAATGTAATTTACCGGTTAAAATATGATAAATTATACATAATTAGCAATATCACACAAAGCAGGTGTGAATGCAGCTTTTTAATTAGGACCAAAAACTAATAAATCTTTACTTCAAACCATTGAAGAAGAACCTCAGCTTAGCCTGTTAGCTTTAGCATTAGCCCAACGCTATCACCATATATATATATATATAT